GGCGCGAGGACGCGCCTTTTCCGGAGGGGGCGTTCTGTTACATGTATGTCCTGTGTTTCCCACTGTTTAGTGTTTTTGGTTCAGTCCAGTGTCCCAGGTTTCCCGCTCCTCGTTTGTGTTCAGTTTCTTCACCTGTGTTTAGTTAATTTGCCCCAGCTGTGCCTTGTTTCCCTAATCTGTTCCCTGTGTATTTAAACCCTGTGTTCTCCCTCATTCCTGGTCCGTTATCGTTTGTATTAAGACGTGAGTTGTGACTCCTAAGTTTTTTTTAAATAAATTCCTGTTCTCCTGTTCCTGGTCGTCTTCCTCGTGTGTCCTCCACCACGTCCCGTGACAAATGTGCACCGATAAATCATTTCTGATAAACACTGCAATATTCCCTTTAAAAACAAGAATTGTCAATTGTGATTTCATGGTGAAGTCGTGTAAATGCACTCTCTTTAAGTAGACTTAAGCGGTCTTTTATTTCATTAATATTATATTATCTGAAAGTACAGTTTTTGTTTAAAATGCACTTTTAAGAATTGAAGTGTGCATTCACTACAATTAAGCACACAAGGGTATAATGTAGCATTAGCCTGCCGTTTTTCCAATTTAATGTTAATCTGAACATTTTGTATGGAAGTAAAATAATCCCAAATGTTTTTGAAACAAAAAGCCTGTTGAATTGTACTACTTGAAAAAAATATGCATTGCATTAACCCTGCTTGTATTTTAATGCATTGTATTTTTAGGGCTTGTATTTTTATAGGCTGAAATTTAGCATGGTTGAATATTTGGATGAATATCCATATTCACCTTTCATATTTCATTTCCCAAATATTCAAACTGATTAAAAATACAACCTATAATATTCAACAGGCGGTTTTCGGTCCATTTTATTTCGCTTTGCAAATTCGCTTCCACAAATTCAGTGGTTCAAATTCGACAGTAAATTCAACGTTGACATCCAGGAGCTGCAGGAAAAGCAGTAGATTACCGAGCATAATCTCCATCTGCTGTTAGTCGACCACACCAGCAGGGGGTGCAAGCGCGTGTTGTTGACGAAGACCAGAGCAACAGTTAGCGCAAGCCATTCATTCATAAAAACTCAGCATGCATTATGTTTTTTGTGACGATTATCTGGGTCAGTATATATGCGGAAAAGATGATAAAGGCACAAAAGCTGTTTTTATGTTTCATTCATTGTTACTTTCCCTGTGTAGCCTTATGTTATCAGCCTTTTCTACAGTGAACGGGATTATAATCTGTTTCCCTCAATACATCATCATACTCAAAGATTCCCCGAATTCCGTCAGGACAAAGCGCTTAACGTAGCTTAATGGACTACAGTGATATAAAAGACCAAACTCGCACCTTATTTGGAAAGTATGTATTGTACATGTACTGCATTAGATTAAACTGGGAAGTAGCACTTTCATATTGTTGTTCTATATTGTTAGTTTAACTAGTCGCTTTGGATAAAAGTGCCAGCTAAAAGACTAAATGTAAAATTGGGTTGACATTCGCACATTTAGGGACCGTCTCTAAAGTAACAAGTCCTATAGGCCTAAACGTTTCTAACTTCAATAGCAAACTTTTTAATCTATTTGAATAAATTGCGCCTTATGCCTGAGCCTGACACCTACATGAACACTTTACAGTTGGTTTTATGACTGTAAGTCGTTCTTTTCAAATGGTATTTAAGTTAGAAACGTGTATACCAATTTCGTATGTAACTTTAGAGACGGTCCCTAAATGTGCGAATGTCCAATGTCAAACCAAATTTATGCCAGTATATCACTGGGAAACGCTCAGCATTAAACTTTGCGCGTTAAATTCATATTCTGAGTCCATCTGCTAGCCTGCGAGTTTGGTCTTTTATGTCCATTAAGCTACGTTAAGCGTTTTATATGTCCAGCAGGGGAATCCTGACGTATTGAGGGAAACCCTAGTACTGCATGCAGCACATCGCTGCAATATAAGGTTAAGGCAACTAAACAACCAAGAGAAATATGTCAAATGTAACACTGGATCTGTACATCCGCATCGGGGGAATAACATTATCGTTCATGGTAGAGAAAGATGCATGTAGGCTACACAGGAAAAGTAATCGTGAACACACTGAATTTCACATAAAACAGACGTCATAATAATCACAAATACACTTACATTTTTGTAAATAAGTTTTTATGAATGAATGGCTTGCACTAACTGTTGCTCTGGTCTTCGTCAACAACACGCGCTTGCACCCCCTGCTGGTGTGGTCGACTAACAGCAGATGGAGATTATGCTCGGTAATCTACTACTTTTCCTGCAGCTCCTGGATGTCAATGTTGAATTTACTGTCGAATTTGAACCACTGAATTTGTGGAAGCGAATTTGCAAAGCGAAATAAAATGGACCGAAAACCGCCTGTTGAATATTATAGGTTGTATTTTTAATCAGTTTGAATATTTGGGATATGAAATATGAAAGGTGAATATGGATTATTGAAATTTTACTAATGAAAATGTGTTTGAAATGATTTGATTTGAAATATTCACAGCTTAAATATTCAACCATGCTAAATTTCAGCCTATAAAAATACAAGCCCTAAAAATACAATGCATTAAAATACAAGCAGGGTTAATGCAATGCATATTTTTTTCAAGTAGTACAATTCAACAGGCTTTTTGTTTCAAAAACATTTGGGATTATTTTACTTCCATAATTTTGATTTCATGTCGACTTTAAAGTGTCGACAGTCTTATAAGAAAAGCTTCTATATATGAAACCTTAAAGGTTCTGTCAGGCACTTCATATATAGAAGCTTTTAGATGTTCCCACCACTTTATGGATTTAATTTCAATGAATTAATTTGGTTTTGAGTTAAAGAGCTAAACTAACTTTATCACTAGCAAGAAATGAAAGTATTGTGCAATCATTTAAAGTCTCTCTGTAGTCAATAATTGTATCCCTTAAAGGAGTCATAACCTGTAATTTTCACTTTTCCACGAGAATCAATGTATGTTATGATTGCCTAACGATTATACGTTGGCCGGGAAGCCGATATTCAAAAGTGAAGCGTTTGTTTACCCCAGGGTTCGTAAACCAGCCCACGTGCACGCGCACTCAAATACGAGATTTTAATTTCTCCCCCGACTTGACGTCAAGTCGGGGGAGGATATTCCATATATGGACACCGCAGACATATGCTGCAGGAAGCCCGCCCTGCCCCTCTCCCCCTCATATTCAGTCAAGAAAAATGCAGAAATGTAGTGCACACGTGAGTTGCTCTGTGGTTGACTGCCAGAATCAACATTCAAATGTGTTTTCTCTACCAAAAACGGACCAAACTACCAGGGACCAGTGGATGAAATTCATTTTTAATGACGCTGTTCCAACAACCCCATCAACTGGCTCAACGTTAGGTGTCTGCGCTAAACATTTTACACAGGAATCCTTTACAAATTTGGGGCAATATCAGGCGAAGTTGGCCTCGAATGGACTCAACGAATGCTAGCCACATCTTTCCACTTTGTTTTACACTACAGTAGTGACGGTACATGAGTCCATGCTCAGTGCCTAAAACTGTTTGCTAAATGTAATTATGAAAACAATATACCACAAAACATTATTAGCAAAACTAGTCGCGGCTCATTCACAACTTGCGCCATGATGTCATTTTGGAATGATATGCTGAAGTTACCTGCGGTGTCAAGCCCCCTCCTTCCTGCCACCAATCAACGCGCCCCTCATTTGCATTATTAAAATGACCGTCCACGACAGCCAAAATATCGCATCAGATCTCGCGAGACAATAATGCATTCAGAAATAAGGGTCAGAGGAGCTCTGTGTTTATTTTTTTTCTACTTTTCTTTTTTAGAAGGGCCTGAAAGACTATAATAGAGCGTGGGTATCCAAGGTAATACTAGGTTGTGACTCCTTTAAAACTCATCTTTGATCACCAAAATTACGTTTTTAAATGTTTTTTCCTGCATTAAAATATCTTGAATGTAACTCGACACCCTCGCCTCATTTAGTATGCGCGGCTCTATGAATATAAAAATGAGCCCCGCCTCCACTCACTCACTCAGCTCAGAGATCCACTGGTTGACGATCACACGTTGATCTGATTGGTTACAAGGTCGTTTGTGACGTCAGAAACACCAGCGATTTCAAACCGTGTTTTTGAGACTGTCTTTGGTTCACTGCAGTTTTAACGAGAAAATACTCAGCAATGCTGTCGACTTATGAACTTACACATGGTGTGTCTTAAAGGGATAATTCGGCCAAAAATGATATTTAACACATGCATTACTCACCCTCAAGCCGTTCGAGATGCATATGTCAATCTTGTTTCAGACGAACACATTTTCAGTTATTTTA